AGACAGCCCAGTGGGGCTCCACCTGCCTGTCTGGCTCCACCGGACGACTGCCCCTCGCCAGCTCCTGTGAATATGAAATAAAAGCCGGAGATAAATCACAGCCGCTGCCTTGGCGCGAGCGTCTCTCTGGGGCCCGGCCGGCGATAAATCCAGGCGTGGAGGCGAGACGCTAAATCACAGCCGCTGCCTTGGCGCGAGCGTCTCTCTGGGGCCCGGCCGGCGATAAATCCAGGCGTGGAGGCGAGACGCTATTACTGCGTAAATCAAGGGCTGCTTCCCCTGCGAGCCCGGCGCTCGGCCAGCTGAGCTAGAAGAGCTCGGTCGGAGCAGAGCCCTCAGCCTGCCGGGGCAGCACAGCAAGAGGGACTCCGGCTGCACGAACGTGGCCACTGGGGATCCCCTTACATACGGCCCTGGCCAGGCTGGGATCACAGACTGTCCCCCCATGGGATGTGGGTGGGGGGTGGCTGCCACGTGCCATGACCTGGCCAGAGGGGATTATTGCACCTGCTATAGGTGACCACGGGGCTGTTCACACCTGCTCCAGCTCCTGGTGCTTCCTGTTGAGAAGCTAAACGTTCCATCAGCCTGGCTCTTCTCTGGGGAGCCAAGTGCAGCCTGGTGCACGTCGGACTCGTTCCCAGGACGCTGGAGCCTGCTCCGGGCAGCGTGGGCAGCGGGTGCCTGCAGAGCCGGCTGTTGGTTTGGTTCATGTCCCACCTACAGCTTCTGGTGCCCCCACTTTCTTGACAGTCACCGGCAGTTTGGCCCTGGGGGTTGATTCCCTGATGCTGAAGGGCCGTGGCAGGATCCACTGGCCACGTCCATCGCTCCCCTGGATTAGCGGCGCCCACGCCAGCACTGGCCACGTCCATCGCTCCCCTGGATTAGCGGCGCCCACGCCAGCACTGGCCACGTCCATCGCTCCCCTGGATTAGCGGCGCCCACGCCAGCACTGGCCACGTCCATCGCTCCCCTGGATTAGCGGCGCCCACGCCAGCACTGGCCACGTCCATCGCTCCCTTGGATTAGCAGGGCCCACGCCAGCACTGGCCACGTCCATCGCTCCCCTGGATTAGCGGCGCCCACGCCAGCACTGGCCACGTCCATCGCTCCCCTGGATTAGCGGCGCCCACGCCAGCACTGGCCACGTCCATCGCTCCCCTGGATTAGCGGCGCCCACGCCAGCACTGGCCACGTCCATCGCTCCCCTGGATTAGCGGCGCCCACGCCAGCACTGGCCACGTCCATCGCTCCCCTGGATTAGCGGCGCCCACGCCAGCACTGGCCACGTCCATCGCTCCCCTGGATTAGCGGCGCCCACGCCAGCACTGGCCACGTCCATCGCTCCCCTGGATTAGCGGCGCCCACGCCAGCACTGGCCACGTCCATCGCTCCCTTGGATTAGCAGG